TTACTACAAATTGTTCTTAGAAAAGAGAAGTGATTTATTAATGCATTTATATTATAAATTTCCTCATAAGAAAATGGCAAGAAAGTCATGTTACTGCAAGAAAGGACTAGTAAATGTAGAACATACCTGATCACACGTAAATGATAGGCGAGCTCCAAATGACTTTTCCAGTTCTTCATAGTAATACTGGAACAAGTGGTCAAAATGTTGGCGACGATCCGTAACGCTCGTAGCGCAGAAGATGTAACGAAGAATGTCCTCGGCAATACAACCGCGATGAACTAGCTGTGTTTAAAGAGAACATGCAAGATTTTATTCTCACTATTTATTTGAAATTAACCATTTTTAAAGTTTATTTTTCAAAATTCTTTTTTATGAAAGACGCATCTGAAAATTCGCAAAAAGCTCATCTTAGATGAAGGCAGCAGCTTTACTGGAACAGTGAAAGGCAGTGTGCAACAACTTCAAAAAATTTGTTGATGACTTGATTAATAATTAGCATTCAAAATAACCTGCCAGTCAACAATAAATCTGATCTTTCTTTCACCTTCCACATTATGCCATAATATATTTGCTGACCATAGGTCGCCATGGGCCAGTACTGGAGGCGTACCTGTACAACAACTACAGTCTTATCCTTAAAATACCAATTTCATGTATAAGTCTGGTTTTGATTTTAGCCAGTTTGTACCGAAGGTATCGTTGAGTGTCTCTAGGAAGTCGTCATTGATAATCTGTTCACGATGTTGCAAAATATTCTCGCACAGTGTGTCAACATTAGGATTTCCACGATCAGGCAGTGATTTCAGAAAATTGTCGAGCAACTGCAGTTTTAACGAAGGATTTAGTAGACATCAGTTGATAAATCAGTAGTAAAAAGATTTAGCATATAGAACTGTGGTAAAGAGAAATAGAGGCAGCGACATGCGTATGATTGAAAAAAGTCAGATTTGCAAAAAAAATATTACATCTTTAACTTTCATTTGTTTGCTTATCTCAGAAAGAGGACATCCATTTATTTCCAGTGTTTCGGGATGTTTCAAGGAAAACGAGTGGAACTTGGCTATCTGCTGTAGAACCTAAATTTGGAACAGTGATGGCTTACTGTTTCAAAATCGTTACAGTTTGGTAGTTCTAAAATTTATTTCTTGATTACTAAAAAACAAAACTTCTTTGCTGGAAGGTTTTTATATTCATTTCACTGCTATAAAGATA